AGGGGTTGAGCATCGACCTATGAACCAGGAGGTCACGGTTCAGTTCCCCGAAGCCCGTCAGTCAGGGCACGTGCCCCAGGTTGCAGGCTCGCACCCCAGTGTGGGGTGTGCAGGAGGCAGCCAATTCAATGATTCTCTACCATCAATGACGTTTCTCTCTCTCTCTCCCTCTTCCTGCCTTTCTGAAATCAATAAAAATACCTTTAAAAAAAAGAAATGCCTGCTGTTTTAGCCACTGAATCTATCATATTTTGCTATGGCAGCCCGAGCTGACTATTATAACACCCTTCCCAAATCTGGGTGATTTGAGAAAGAAAAAAGAAAACAGAAAAAAGCCCGCCCCCCCCCCTCCCCCCCCGGCCGGTGGAAGCCTGGCCTGTCTGCCCATGCGCAGCGGAGACTGGGACAACAGAAGGCATCCTGTTCTCAGCAGCTGTGGCCGCCCTGAGCCTAGTGTCTACACCTGGAAAAGGCAGATAATTAACATCTACCTCCGAGTGCTGTTGACAATTACACCAACTAATGTACGTCCCCGCACGAGGTCTTCAATGCCTGAAGGCTGTGAGCACTGACGCCAGAGGGCAAAGCAGGACCCCAGGCGGGTGACACACGCTGGGCTGGCGGGAAGGGGCCTGTGCCTTCCCAGTGCCGCCTGCTGTCAAGCCCCGGGGCCTGACGGACAGGCTGCCGAGTGCTATTGCAAGAGAAAATGAAAGCAAATACACACAGGGATGGTTCTAGGCCCAGTGCCTGGCCTGGGGCAGGTGGAGGAAGGATGTGTGTGGGGAGCATGGCTTAAGGCAGAGCTTCCCAGCTGACTAAGCCATGCTCCCCACATCACACCATCGTCGGGGGCTTGCCTCCACCTGGGAGCACCCCGGAGGACTGGGAAGAGGGGCTGGAGCCCTGGGTGGTCATGAATGTCTGTCTTCTCCCTCCCCAGCCCTGGGGACAGGATTAACCTTCTCTTTCCCACGGTGTGCCGTGGTGTGAACAGAGGGTGGGGACGCTGGTGTGTGAGATGCTGCCCAGGTCATGCTGAGCATGACTGGGGCAAAGGACCCTGTCACTCTCAGGGTCCACAATCTTTCCACACCTTCCCAGGCTAATGCCCAGACCGGAGCTGGCACTGCGGGCACAGGGCCCACCCCTGGCACCAAGGCTGCCATGTTAAGGCTCTGACGGAGGAGGGGCAGGGCGCTGCCGAGGCTGTCCTTGGCCAGGACTGTTTACTCAGGGGCCAGAGCTCTCCTGATGGCCGCCCAGGGCCTGGGTCCCCCGTGGCCGCTCGGGAGCTGACACCACGTGGGCATGCTGACAGGAGCTGCTGTCTGTCTCCTGGGCCCCAGGTCTCCTGGTCCCTCTCCTTGTTCTCCCAAGTCTCCTGTCTCCCCCCCCCCCCCCCCACACACACACACACACACAGCAACGGCTCCGAAATGCTAGTTGACATTCTATCTGCAGCTTGCCTAATTCCAAATGCATGAGAGGTTGGACGAATGTTGGCTGGCGACTCCTGTGATTGAAAAGTCTGCAAAGATTTATTACTCTTCTTTTCCGATGTCTCCAGACTTGGGCTGAGTGTCACCAAAGATACAAAGAAAGAATAAATAGGGGTCCTGGGGAGGGAAAGCGCAGAGGGCGGGTTATGGTTGGGACAAGCTAGTCCAGAACATGGTGGAGGGAGTGGGGGTGAGGGAGAAAGAGACGGGGGTGGGGGGGGGGGTGGGGGAGGAGATTGACCTATGAACCAGGAGGTCACGGTTCAGTTTCCCGAAGCCCGTCAGGGCACATGCCCAGGATGCAGGCTTGCATTGGTGTGTGTGTGTGTGTGTAGAAAATGCATTATGCAATATTTGTGTATCACTTGTACCTACCTTCTCACTTCTAAATGCCTTCCTTCCTGCACAGTCAGGTACCTGGTTCTACGTGCTGCAATGTAATGGCATCCCAGAGGTTGTCGGGAAGGGGCGGGGTGACGTGGTGGGAAGAGCCCTCCAATGAGTCAAATCTGGCCTGCAGCCTCCTTCCTGGGGCCTCTGGGTAGTGCCTTTCGCTCTCTGAGGCTGCTTCCCCTCTGGGGCGGGTGAAGACAGAGCCCTCTCAGGGCCACGGTGATCATGCCAAGCAGTAACCTGCACAGGCTCTGGGCACTGGAGTCTGCTGACTCTTGTCCAATAGAAGGGCAGAAGGGGAAGACCAGGGTTTTGTTTTTTTTTTTTGGAGGGGGGAGAGAGGGTGTCAGAAAAAGCCTGGGGGGTATTTGGGGACCAGGGCAGCACCCAGGGCCCCCTGCAGGCAGCCCCGCCAAACTGCATGGCTGCTGTTCGCACACTGAGAGCTGGGCTCTCCTGCTCGGGCCACTTCATTGGCGGGGAACCACCGGGAAACTGAGCCCTGAGTCCCGCCATCACAACCGACGCTTTGTAAGCGGCCTGCTGCGGTGTTTCTCAGCTTCCGCTCAGAGGTTTGATCTCTCTCTCTCTCTCTCTCTCTCTCTCTCTCTCTCTCTCTCTCTCTCTCTCTCTTCCTTCCACCATGTAGTGCTTTGGGGCACTTTGTTAGAGAACAGGTTGAAATAACGCATCTGACACACAAAAACCGACACTGAGGTGCCTGAGGGCGCACGCCCCCTGCCCCCCCCCCCCCATGCTCCCAGGGAGTGGCCTGGGGTTAATGTGCTGCCTGTCGCTCAGCTCAGACGCTGGCTGGCAGACGATGGCGTCGTCGATGTGAGATTTCCCCGTTGGGCTCTGTGATGTGCTGTGATGAGATAAGCTGGCAGCTTCCACACAGGTGGGGGGGACTGTCATGATGATTCCAGTCACGACAAGAAATTCTGAACCAGCTTTCCCAGCCTTGGGTTGGTCCAAAGAAGCTCTGGCCCTGGGAGGTGGCCTGGCGTGGCCCTGGAAGCCCTGGCCTCCGGGGGCTGGCAGAGACGCAGGTGAAGGCCCCCTGATGGCAGTCCCCTACCCCCCTCCGCCAGCGGCCCAGCGCTTGGGGCCTTCCTGATGAACACGTCCATCCTCATTAGGGTGAGGGATGAATAAAGGAGGCGTGTGAGCCTCTGAGCAGCTCCCGTTTCCACGGGGAAGCTGGACCACCGGGTTCACGGGTGAGTCTGGGTGGTGATGGGGGCATGACTGACTGTGCCACGTGGGCAGTACCCCGCGGGGCCCCCCCCACTCCGTGTCTCACTCAGGTGCCTGGCAGGCAGTGACGTGGGCACGGCCCCCACAGGAGGGGAGTAGGTGTTTGTGATCTGAGCCATTGCACCCCCCAAGTGACGCTTTCCAAAAGGCAGGAGGAGGGGGTGCTCGTGGGCTCCCGCTCCTTTGTGCAGCTGTGTTTCCCAAACTCCTGACGCACCGGCACCCTGGCAGGCATGAAGCTTCCGACAGCAAAGGGCAGAGCCACCGAGACTGGGGGCGGACGTGGGGATCGGAGGGGGGCAGGACTCCAGATAAGAACAGGCCTGGCCTGGGAGGGGAGAGGGGGGACAAGCTGAACCTCGCCAAGCCAACTCAGCTCTGTTCATCGGACAAAAGCCTCTGTACATCGGACTCCAAAAGCGGCCAGAAACGGGCCATCTTTTCAGAGCTCCTCCCCAACTTCCACCGAGACCCAGCCACGCCGAGCTGTGAACCGTTAACCGCGGCCAGGGCGGCCAGGGGTGCGGGAGAATTCCCCGAAACACGGAGGGGGGCGGCGGGAACACGCGGGAGAGGCCACAGGAAAACAACGACGGAACTCCACCGGAACGTTTCGAAAGGGATGCTCTGCCTCTTCTTCCCCCATGTTGCCTCCCGCGGGAACGCCGGAATGCCAAGCAGACGGTCCCCACCTGAGCGGGGCGGAGGGCCCTCCATGGCCACCTGTTGGCACCAGCTCCGCAGCCGGCGGCCGGCACCGCGAGGCGCTCAAGTCCGCCCGGCGCACGTGGCCATTGGCGGCGCCGGGGCTGCCCTGTTCCCCCTCCCCGGAGGGAGCGGTCCCCACAGTGTCAGGCCCCCCGTCCCGGCCCCTAGAGGCATCCCAGGCTCACACCGCTGCTCGGCCTCTCGTGCCTCAGAGGGAGGAGGGAGATCCAGGCGCGTCGCCTCTCCATCCTCAGCCGGGGGCGGCCACGCCCCTCCCGGGCCCGCGGGTCCCCCCTGCGCGCCCCGGTTCTCCAGGGAGGCCTTCCGCAGCCTCCGGGCCCGGGACCACCTCGGAGGGCCCGCTGCCTCAGCCAGGGGAGACTGGTGTCTCTCCCCTTCCGTTTCCACCGAGCAGGCAGGAGCGGGCGAGCAGCCCCATGAAAGAATAGGGGATGGAGCAGGTCTCGGCGGCGGCGGCGTCAGGTTCACGGGCAACCAGGGCTCCCTCAGACCCGCTGGGAGCCCAGTCCTCACCCCCAGCCCTCGGCCCCGGGCCTGGAGCTGGATCGGAGCGGTCCCGGCGCTCCCCACCCCCCGGCCGGCCCCGCCCCGGGATGACCAGTTCCCATAGCAATCGCAGAGACACTGGTTGCCAAGCAACCCCTCCCCTCCGCCCTCCCCTCCTCCCGTGTCTGCTCCCCCCCCCCCCAGCCTCCGCCCGCCCCCCCCCAGCAAGCCTCCCCGCCCCCGGGGGCGCCGGCGGGGGCCCTGGGGACAGGTTTGGTGTCCGGCTGCGCGCGCGCGCGTGAGTTTCGGGGTGTTTCATTGTGTGTGTGCGAGGGGGTGTGCGTGTGCCGGCGGAGAGTTTGTGGGGTCGGTGTGTTTGGGTTGGGGGTAGGGTCTCCAGCCGGGAGGGACCCCGAGCTGGTCCCCAGCTGGCCGCGAGGGGACCCGCCCGCTGGCTCCGGCTCCTTTGTGTCTCGCGCGGAGCCAGCCGGTGCCGCGCCCACCCCCTTCCCGGCCGGCGCCCCGGACCGGGGACGGGGTGGAGTGTGTGCGTGTGTGTGCGTGTGCGTGTGTGTGTGTGTGTGTGTGTGTGTTGGGGATGGGGAGGGGGGCTGCCGGAGCCGGCCGTACCTTCGATGCAGCACACCCGCCACAGCCCCGAGTGGGTGAGGTCCCCGCGGGCGCGGCGGGGCGGGGGCCCGTCGTCCATGGTCAGGTTGCTGCCGTTGCAGATGTGCGCGCTGGAGTAGAGCCAGTAGTCGGTGCCGATGGCGATGGCCATGAGCGAGAAGGCGGCGAAGGCTCCGGCCGTGGTCAGCAGCATCTGCAGCCCGCGGTCGCATCGCACCATGGTGGGCGCCTCATAGTCCGCCGCCCGCCCGCCCGCCGGCCTCCGCGCGCCGCTCCGGGGGCGCCGGGCTGGGGGCCGAGGGCCGGGGGGCGGCGCCCGCTGCGCTCCGCGCTCCCACCCCGCGCCCGCTGCCTGCGCTCCGCCGCGCGGGCTCCAACTCCGAGGCTCGGCGGCCGGGCGAGGGCTGCGCGGACCGCCCGACCCGCCGGCTGCGGCGTCCGGGGGCTCCTCCCTCTCCGCCCGCCTCCCTCCCTCCCTCCCCGCGGCCCGGCCTCCGCCCCGCGCCCTCCCGCCGCCGCCGCCGCCGCGCTCCGGGCCCCGCTCCTCCCGGCGCCGCCCCCCGCGCCGCGGCCCCCCCTGCGCCGCCCGGGCTCGCTCCGCCCGCCGCCCCGCTCCCGCGCGCCCTCCCCGCCTCCCGCTCCATTCACATTGTTAGCGCCGAGCAAGCCGCCGCCGCCGCACCGGCTCCCCGGGAGCGGGGCGCAAACCCAGAACCCCGATTCCAACCCGGGGCGCCCAGGCGTCCCTTAGACGGCCCCGGGGACTCTGATGGGTGGAGTGTGTATGAGTGTGTGATCAGTACCTTCACCTGGCGAGGACTGTAGAGGAGTGTGTGTGTGTGTGTGTGTGTGTGTGTGTGTGTGTGTGTGTGTGTGTGATCAGTACCTTCACCTGGCGAGGACTGTAGAGGAGTGTGTGTGTGTGTGTGTGTGTGTGTGTGTGTGTGTGATATCAGTACCTTCACCTGGCGAGGACTGTAGAGGAGTGTGTGTGTGTGTGTGTGTGATTAGTACCTTCACCTGGCGAGGACTGAGAGGAGTGTGTGTGTGTGTGTGTGTGATATCAGTAACTTCACCTGGCGAGGACTGTAGAGTGTGTGTGTGTGTGATCAGTACCTCACCTGGCGAGGACTGAGAGGAGTGGGTGTGGGCGTGCTCAGGTCTGATTTCCAGAAATGCCAGCTATCAGCCACAGCTGGGAGACATCGCAAGCCAGGCCAGGCCTCCGCCACTCTCCTCCCAGCAAGGGAGGTGTCTGTAGCCAGAGGTCCTCTGGGAAGAACTCCCTGCTTTATGGGGCGCTGGCGAGGCTGTGATGGAAGCAGGGGGCTCCCCTGTGACCCCGGTTCTGAGGGTGTGTGACTGTGAGACCTGGAGCACCTGGGCTGGACTGGAGTCAAACGTCTGGGCCCCTGAGCCATTTCCCTTTTTTTCCCCAGCTCACTCTCCAACACCTTTATTTCCCTCTGCCTTTCGCTCTACTCGAGCTTAACTGGCTCTCCCGCCCCTCCGCCTCTTTATTGCCAGTCTCGGCCTCAAGCCCGGCTGGCTTCACTTAATTGCCTTCGCTGCTGGCATGATCTCAACCTGGACACACTCCCTTCCCCTCAGAGCCAGAGCAGGCTCCTCCTCCTGCGAAAGCCAGCTCCGAACTCTGTCCTCCAGAGGCCCTAGGCCAGGCCCTGGCAGTCCAGGCTGGCTTTACTGGGATTTCGGGTCTCCCCGAAGCTCACGCTGGCATCCCTGGAGGCTTTCCTGAGGGACTGGACACCGAACCCCCAGGCAAGTGGAAGAAGAGTAGGGAGCGCTGCTATTCTTCTTGCAAGATGCAGCTGACATGTCACCTCCTGGTGGGACCTTCCCGGGCCCCCACCTCCCGGAGGAAGGTCAGAGACCCTGTGCTGGAGGAAGGTCAGAGACCCTGTGCTGGAGGAAGGTCAGAGACCCTGTGCTGGAGGAAGGTCAGAGACCCTGTGCTGGAATTGCTGGTCTTCCACCCACAGGATGGTGAGCCTTTCTCATAGCTGACACATATGAGAAGGAATATTGATGAGGGAAACGTGTTTCTGGCCCTCTGGAAAATTACAGTCTGCTTTGGGGACATACATAAAAGGGGGGAAAGTCCAGGGGCCAGACTGGCCACATTAATTAGCATTTGTTGGCCCCCTTCTTCTGCTTTCGGGATGTCTGTTCTGCTTCCTCAAAGTCTCAGAGGACAGGAGTCATCACCTCTACGTACTTCCACCCACCGCCTCCTGGTCCGCCCGGCCAGGTGCCCAGTGTGCCCGCAGGCATGCAGCAGGCCTGAGAGAGCTTGCTGTAGCTCAGAGGGGCAGCCTGCTGTAGATTCTGGAGTAGATTCTGGGTGGATTCTGGGGTCTGCTCTCAGAAACTCCCCGGAGGGTGCATCTCAAGCTTTCTTTCCTTTTCTCTTTCGTTGTTGTTTTGTTTGTTTTTAATTCTCGTCCTTTCCCCTCCCTTCCTCCTTCCTCTCCTCCCTCCTCCTCCTCCTCCTTCAAGAAACAAATAATTGTTTCCTATTGAATCTTAACCAGAAGCCCAATATAAACAAACTAGGTCTTACCTACAAGTTAGCCTTGCCCCAAAGCACCTCTGTGGACCCTAGGGTTCTATGAAACTTGCCGTGAAAACCCCGTCATCCTGAGACAGCTCCTGGGTGCCTTGGAGATGACACGGGGGCGGGGGGCCCTTCTTCAAGCAGCAGATCCTCACATCCATCCCATGGGGACACCAGAAACCTTCCTCCCTCAGTCCTGTTAGCTCCTGCCCTTGTGCTCCCAGAGGAGCATGTGTGAGAGTTGAGACAGCCGTGGACGAGCAGCCCAGGCCGTTGCCATGTCATGCTGTCTCCATGGCGAACTAGCAGGGTGATCTCGGACAAGCCAGACTCACCCTGGAGAAAGACACTTCCCCGGTGCCCCCTTCAGAGTTGTGTTGAGGGTCAAATCCTGGGAAGTAGCCTTGCACAGCGCATACACACAGCGACCATTGTGGAAGGAGCCGTACATGTTCCCTTGTCTACCTTCTCTGGGAGACAGTGCGTCAGACACCACATAAGGGATGGCTGTTGCGCTTTCTGTGAATTCCCACCGTTCTCCCCCTTCCAACACCTGGACAGTCCCAGGCACAGAGAAGTCAAGTCACCTGCTCAGTTCAATGCCTCCCACCTGCGAGGCCCCAGCTTGAGGACTTCAAGGCCAAACACTCACCCGCCTCTTGGCCGGGTTGACGGCAGTGTTATTATGGACCCTTTAATCCGGGGGGTGGGGATTCTAGTGGGGGCTTGGCCGTTTGCCTTCCTTTCTGTGGACACCCAGCTGGCACCCATGCTGAGCCCCGAGGTGGTGAGGGTGCAGGCTGCAGAGTTAAATAAGGACCTGACCTCGGGCGGGCGGAGGGAGCTGGGGCAAACGGAGGCCTGTCTGCGGCCATTCAGCATGCCTGGGTGAGCACCGTTTAAATCTGGAAATTTCTGCTCAGCGGGATTAGAGAGCTCTAAATGGCAGTGTTTAGCTGCTGCCTGAGGTCCCTGGAGCTTCTCCCATGTGACATTTCCAGATCTGAGCGAGGGGTGTGCCCTTTGCTTGCTCCGGGGGAGGCTCGGCTCTGGGTTGGCCTTGTTCTGGAGATGCTGGACACTTGGCATCTTCCCCCAGGGAGCTGCTCAGTGCAAGTTTTACTGTTTGGGGGGAGTGGGTGGTGGTGGCACCATACATATTATTATCTCTCTGGACAGCTGAGAAGGTGAGGCTATTTGGACTTGTCCTCCAAAGCTGTCTTTTTTTTTTTTTTTTTTTTTTTTTTTTCCTCCTGGGATCATTTGGGTAATTACCACGATTCTTCCCTTTCCGTTGGCTGTGAAGACGGAGCTGTGTAATGAGCTCAGAAACCCTCCGACCGTCCCCACGCCAGGGGGAGGCGGCCAGGCAGCCGTGGTGGGAGAGGAATACAGTATGAGGCTGCTCACGCTGCGTAACGTGCATGTCAAAGCGGCGAGCAGGCTGCATTTGCAGTCAGGGGGGAAGGGAGAGAGAGGCCCGCCGCCAGCTGGGGCGCCATCGTGCTCTGCCGCGGCTCTGAAAGCCTTTACGAAAAGCTCAGTCCCTCCCCTTCGTCCTCCAGAAATAATGGCCTCTGCGTGGCGATTGTCTGTGATATCTTGTTTCCAAGCCTGAGGCAGACGGTTCTGCTGATTCCAGAAGCTTTAGTGGGGGGATTTGGGGAGCTTGGGAGAGATCGTGTGTGAATAGACATGAAGCGTGACGTTGAGTTTTGATAGTTAAGGGCTGGGGATGCGTCTTAGAAGGCCCCAGGGCTTGGCTCAGGGCAGACCCTTATCTGCAATCCGTCCAAGCTGCTTGGAGTCGAGAAGAATGCCTCCGGACCTGGTGCTGACAGCATCCCCGGCGGATTATGTGCTCTGCGAGAAGGATGTTTTTCTCTCTTTAGTATTTCCGGAGGGAGCGTGCACACCAGAAAATGCCTCTTGGCTTTATGTGTCCACGTTTATTCCATGTCGTTTGCTTATCACTTGCTCCCTTTCGAGGTGATTGGAGCTGGACACACAGCCTTCTTTTTTTCAGCCCTGCCACCAAAAAGCAGTGGCATGCTCACGGTCCCCACGCCAGGCCTGGCCCTAGCAGTGCAGAGGGAAACGAAGCAGCATTGAATGAGTGCCTTCTGAGTGCGTGTCTCTGGATCATGGCCATCGCTATACAAGGTGGACGCCTTTACCGCCATTCTGCAGAAGATAAACCTGCAGCTGATCGGAGGAAGGGCAGGAGCTGGGATTTGAACCCAGCTCCTCAGGGTGCATAGCCAGGCGCCGTTAGCTACTACACTGCTGCACCTCCCTCCCCGGAGCGCACAGAGGCTCAGGGTCTCCCACGTCTCTTCTCACCTCTGCTTCCTCCCCCAGTCCTCATGCAGGTACTTGCCCAGATGAAATCAGGTTCAAATGACTATCAAAGTCACACGGGGGCGCAGAGCTTAGCAAAAGGCTTCACCTGCCACTCAGGTGGGGGTGGCGCAGGCTCCCGTTTCCGGGCGGATGGCAGGTGCTGGAAGCCATCAGTCTTAGGAGTCATCTTCGTCTCCCTCCTGGCCCCCACCTCAGTGCCTGTCCCGTTGCCGGCCAGAGGGGAGGAGAGAGTGGCCCAGCCCTGACCCCAGGCCAGTGGCTTCTTTGAGACAGCTCTGGCCTCCAGCTGCCACCCTCCCCTGGGCCTTTCCTGTGTCACTGTGACAGGAGGAGAATGCAGTCCCCCCAAACAGCGAGCCACACATTGTCTTGTGAGTGGAGTCTGTGCAGCTTAGTATCTAAGATCTGTGTGTCTCCAAAACTGATCCCATTAGGGGCCGTGCTCTCCCCACGAGAATCTGCTCAGGAACCAGCCTGAGGAGGAGCAAACAGATATTAA